GGAAGTGGGTTTAAAAACGACCGAAAGATTTGCACGGTCCTAAGCAAGCAAGCGAACTTAATATTAAGGATTTAAAAATAGCCAAGTACCACGCCGTAAGCCCCGCCGTGAGCAAGTGCTATTTCTTTTTCATATCCGTCAACTTTTAATAAATGTAATTAGCGATTTAGTGCGATTTTTTTGCGCTATCTCTTTATTTATTTATGACGCGTGCACGACCATACCAACTGACGCACCTTTGGTGGGGGGACGGCCAATGCCAAGTCGCACGCCATCGGTGGGAGTGAGGGGGACATTTTCTTTCGCGTTAAAAATACTTTAAAAATACATTAAACGCTGAGCTTAAATCTTCACTGTGTGATGTCCCCCCCACCCCGATGCGTGCAGTTACTAATATATACAGTCGCTAGATGCTACCACTATAGGCCGTAGATATTACTGCAGAGTGGCCGGGGAGATCGTGGCTGGGGAGGGGTGTCAGTGGTAGCAGCCCAGCCCCAGCCTGCCAAGGTGCCACCTCGGCTGGCTGGACAATCTAGGCGAGTCCAGAGGCTCTGCACTGGACTAGGCCTAACCACGCCACTGTCAGGTGAGTACTTTGTGCTATAGAATCGATAACTCCTGCTATAGAGTCAGCATGTACTACTGTTGTGATAGCAGGTACCACCACAGTCGGTAGGCACTGCTGTAATCATAGCAGGTACCACCACAGTCAGTCCGCACTGCTGTTAGATTTTTAAGAGTAGTTTTGAAATATGTTTTTGGCCCGGGCAACGTCGGGTATATAAGCTAGTTTGTTATATTACTCAGGTACTCGGCGACATTCTGCCTCACTTGGCCCGCCCGTGACCTTTCTCTCATGCTTTGTTGGCCTGCGGGGCTCTACATTACCCCACGCCTCCACATAACTCTGCGAACCACGAAGTCCAACAGTCGCAGTCGAGGAGGAAGTCATACCCTGGCTCGCCAGGAGAAGGCAGTACAGCAACAATGTGAAGTTCACCTGCTCAGTCTGTTTGGGATAAAGTGTTGCCCTGTTGTACGCGTGTTTTTTCTCCATGTGCTCCGGTTTCTTCCCACATGTAAACACTCGTGAATTAGCCGATAACACTTTCATAATCAGAGGCGTAGCTAGGAGGGGGCAGGGGGGTACATATGTCCCTGGGCGCCAAGGTAAAGGGGCGCCAAAATGAGGCTCACAACGTTACATTAGAACTTATTGCGGCGGGCGCGGCAGCCTGAAACTACTGCACAAATCTACACCTCAACCTAAAAGTTTATATATCCCGCCACACACAGCCTACATGTCATGTAATTACATTTTGGTACGCGCACCTATTAAGAACTTACATGGAAGAACGTCCCAAACAACAGACAGGCGCAGTCTTTCAGCCCTAGTCACTGGCCTGTTTTTTGGTGGCGGAAACTACGACATGATGATGAACTTGTTGACAGTAACGGGGAATATGAGATAGAATAATCTTCTGAGGTTTCAGGTTTCACGATGTTGGCTACTTAGAATTTGATAAAACGACAAAGCTATCGAAAATATCACAGCCTCTTCGCAATGAAATGATTACTCTCGGATCCTTGCCTTTTCAGCACAGAGACAATCTATCATCAGTATCCAGAGAACGTTCAATTACACCAGCATGGTTTAAACGCTGACTAGCGAACGGAGAGGAAGTGAATCGTTCGTGGCTATTATATTCACCAATCAATAACGCTGCTTACTGTTTCTGTTGTCTATTATTTACATCATCGAGTTCAAACTCACGAGCTTCGTTTGAGTTAACAAACGGTTTCAACAAGTGGAGAAAGCCAGAAAAACTAAATTCTCATGAAAACAATCCTAGCCACCGCATACAGCTTTTACTACATGGAAGTAAGCCAAACGAAGGATAACACTGGTCACACTTTTTCTGGCATAAGGTATTCCAACGGTTTTAATGTAATTTTGGGGTGCTGATTGCAAATCTGGCATCAGTTTTTGTATATCACATCAGGTTTTTTGAGATATCAAATATTGCATTTTCAATAAAAACTGCAGAAGAAAAATATTACATAAATGTGGATATCTACATAAAATTATATTATAAACACACTATCCTAAAAATACAGCACCATATTTTAACACTAAAGCAGTCACTCACTCGCAACAACTTGCAATCATAAGTGACAGTTAATTTCTGGTAAAATCAATGAAAATGGGGTATGCCGATAGCATAAAAATGATGTGATAGAGCAAATCTGAGCTGCAAAAGTCCAGGCCAGAAAAAAATGTTTTTTTTGTTGACCAGTGTAATTGATGGTACTGGAATTAACGCAGTGGTTCAAGCTCAGATTCATTTGGAAAAACAACGTTGGCGAGATATATTGCAAAGAATACTCACCTATATTCAGTTTCTGGTTTCACAAAATTGGGCACCACGTGGCCATGAGGAAAATTTGAATGCAGATGAGGATAAAAATGTTGGAAACTTTCTCGCGCTGATCAAACTCGTTGCTCAGTATGGCCCATTGTTAGCAAAACACGTACAGCACGCAGGAGAAAATCCGGGATCAGTTTCTTATTTGTCACCGGAAATCCAGAATGAATTTATCCACATACTTGCGTCGACTGTAAAGAACCAATTGTTGAGTGATATCAGGAAAAACAGGTACTACGGTATCTTACTTGACTCAACTCCTGATCTAGGACATCGGGAACAGCTTTCTCAGGTCATAAGATTTGTGGATGTGGATTTTCAAACTAAAAAAGTAACTATCAAAGAATCATTTTTAGGTTATATCGAGATACATGCAAACGATGCAGCAAGCCTAGAAAGAGTCATCGTCGAGAGACTGAAATCTGACAACATACCTCTAGCCGACTGTCGGGCACAATGTTATGACAATGCTGCTGTGATGACTGGGCATATATCCGGCCTTCAACAACGAATGTGACAAAAATCACAGAGCATTGTTTGTCAACTGACAACCACAGCTTAAACTTGGCAGGAGTACACTTAGCTAAACAGGATCCACTTGTCATCATTTTTTGGAACAGTTGAAAGTATATATTTGTTTTTCTCTCGTTCAACAGTTCGTTGGGAAGAGTTAAAAAAAGCTGTGCCCATCACAGTAAAGCGTGAGTCTGAAACACGCTTGAGTGCACGATCAGAAGCTGTTAAAGCTATCTATGAAGGACTGGATGAACTAGTAGGGCTGCTAGACAAATTATCGGAGGACGTAACTATGACGCCTGAAACCAGAAGTGATGCAGAACAGTTACATTTCTGGAATGTCATTCTTGGAAAAATTGATCGTGTTCAGAAGCGCTTACAGGATCCTACTATGAATTTCAAGGAAGCAGCAACTGATCTTGAATCTTTGGAGCATGAATTTGTCAAGCTTCGTGATGATTTGAGCCAAATTGCTGTAGAAAACGCTAAAACAAGATGCACAGCCTGGGGGATCGATGTGGACAGAAGAATTAGGCGACGTCGGAAGATGCCAGGAGAACTGGCAAGAGATGCAGGAGTTTCAGCAGAAGAAGAAATTGTGCGCGTTATGAAGAGCGTATTTTATCGACTTCAACAGGAGATTGTCAACACGGTTTTTACGACTAAAAGACCTGAACACAAAATTTGGATTTCTGATGGACGTCAAAACTCTTCTATCCGACACAGATGTCGATGCAATTCGTCGAGATTGCACAGATTTTGGAAATTTCTATGACACCGACATTAATGGCCATGAACTTTTCACAGAAATTGGAGATGGCAAAATGCTGCTCAGTAACCGGAATGAAGTTCTACCAGAAACTCCTTTGGATCTGCTTGGTTTTATTGTGTTTTATGGAGACGACATATTTCCGAATTTCACTGCAAATTTTATTAACAATAGCAGTTTCAATTGCAAGCTGTGAGCGGTCGTTCAGCAAATTGAAACTTAGTTTGTCGTATTTGCTTGCTTCAATGGGACAAGATCGTCTCAGCGATCTTGCTCTTCTTAGCGTTGAAAGAGAAACATTAGAAAAAACAGATTTTTATCACGTGTTGACCAGTTTGCGACAGTGAAATCAAGAAAAATGTATCTATTGTAGACTGTCAACCAGTCTACGAGAGTGACTGAGTGAGCCATGTAATATAATTTCTATAAATTTGCTTCTTTAAATACAATGTTTCATTAAATTTTTAATTGGTATTCCTTATTCGATGTAATAGCAAAATGTGATTCAACGGGGGGGGGGGGGGGGGGGGCGCCAATTTTATAGTTCGTCCCCGGGCGCAAAATATCCTAGCTACGCCTTTGCTTTCATTTATAGACCTAGTTTGGGAAATTGGTGGTGCCCGCTCATCACGCGGCTGTTCCCCGTGTCTCCGAATCATTCCGTCCCTATGAGAGTGAGTGAATACTGTGTGCGCGTTACAAGTTGAAATGTATTATTTATACGCAGCGTCATCTCCTTTAGCCACAGCGCACCTAATTACTCACTATCCTCCACGACATCATCGTCACCTTCTGCATCCCCAACCTTCCAATGGCACAGCGTCGCAACACACAAATACATTTTACACAAATCGGACTCGAATGTACAGAATAAAACTTTGATGAATACCAAGAAAAGATATTTGAGCAGCGAGTATAGCTGAATATGCAACTATCAGTGGTCATGGTGTTAATATTTTTCGGTTCATGGGGACCGTTTATGATGTTGGAGCATAGGATACACACATTTTATGGTAAAAAAAACTTCAGTGCGTCAGATTCCTGCAGCCACTTTGGCCATCATTCCGACACATTTGGGCAGCACGGTGGCCGTCTTCATATAATTTTGGGGAAAATCTCCCCAGTTATGCACGAAAGCACAAAACCCTGTATCCACCACTCCCTTTGCCAGTCGCAGAAAGGCCCAGAGTGGTCTTGGGGTGGCAGCGAAGAGTGGCACAGTGGTTAGAGCAATGTGTGGGGGTGGTGGCGGTGGTGGGGGGGGGGTCTTTGTCTGAGCAGTGCGGATGGAGGGAGGAAAGCGGCTGCGTGACGTCACCGTCTCCAAGGCGCCGCGTCAACTCCACTCCGGCTCCACACGCTGTTGCCACCCTTCCGACTGCGTATACCAACTTATACGAACTTATACTAACTTATACGAACTATAACGACACCCACCACTACATACATTGGCCAAGACACTGTCCCGTACACTGCGATGGTGTACACACGATACAAAGCTGTAAGGACGCGTACACAGTAACACCGATGCACTTACACTTACCACGCTGTAGCATCACCTGAGATTAGCGCGGATGGCTACGTACGGTGCGAAATAAGTTCAACAGACATACTCGACACGATAGTGAACGCCGCTATTACACAACGCTTGACGGCATACACGATACACCTCCATAGGACCAGTCCACTACAACACCAGTGTAGAGTAACGCCGCTACGCCACTCTACGTCTACAATCGCCGACATTCTACCCCACCAGTACACGACACACCGCATACATCGCTCTAGCAGTGTACAAACACGATACACATTTACCCCGACCACACAACCCTCACCACACCACACGTACCGCTGCGCACACTCTTCAGCCCCACCTGCACGCTAAAAGACCCCCACCCCGTATAGCAAACGCTCCAAGTGTTACACCTCGCACACACACCTCGCACTCACACCACGCACACACACCACGCACTCACACCACGCACACACACCACGCACACACACCACGCACACACACCACGCACTCACACCACGCACACACACCACGCACTCACACCACGCACACACACCACGCACACACACCACGCACTCACACCACGCACACACACCTCGCACACACACCACGCACTCACACCACGCACACACACCACGCACTCACACCACGCACACACACCACGCACTCACACCACGCACTCACATTACGCACACCTCGCACACACACCACGCACTCACACCACGCACTCACATTACGCACACCTCGCACACACACCACGCACTCACACCACGCACACGCAACTCGCACACGCACCACGCACTCGCACCACGAACTCACACCACGCACTCACACCACGCACACACACCACGCACACACACTACGCACTCACACCACGCACACACACTACGCACTCACACCACGCACACACCCCACGCACACACACCACGCACACACACTACGCACTCACACCACGCACACACACTACGCACTCACACCACGCACACACACCACGCACTCACACCACGCACACACACCACGCACTCACACCACGCACTCACACCACGCACACACACCACGCACACACACCACGCACACACTCCACGCACACACACCACGAACACACACCACGCACTCACACCACGCACACACACCACGCACACACGGCCACTCTTCACGACCCCCACTCCGCAGCAGCAGCAGCAGCGCCCGCGTTCCACGGCCTCGCACTTCCTTCTCAGGGAGCTCCCGGCACGTGGAGCGAAACTTCGGACACCGCGAAATCCGATGCAGTGGTATGTACAGGCTGGTCCAGATGTCTTGTGACCCCCAATTAATTGACTCCTAATGTTTTTTTCCTTTCCATGTTCATTTCTGTTTAAAACACATTCCCGCGGAGGGAGCTGGTAGGAACGTTGTGTTGATCGGTCAATGGCCAGGGTCAACGGCGGCGTGGTGTATTCCGCAAATATGTCCGACTGTGAGGGTGGGCACAATCCGGCGTGAGTAGGTTAAATGTTGAGTTTTATAAGGGCACCACGGGGTGACCAGCCTCTCCCCACCCAGCCCCACTCCTCCCATCCCCCACCCAGCCCCACCCAGCCCCTCCCCACCCAGCCCCTCCCCACCCTCCCCTCTCCACCCAGCCCCACCCCTCCCATTTTTGGATTCACGACGGACGGACGGACACAATCCCCTGTGGGCTGGTGTAACCAGGAGGTTCCTACCAGTATATAAACCTTACTCGTACTCAAAATTGTAAATGTTGTGGGTTTACTCTCCAACACACCGGCGTGCTGAACTAGTAACGAATTGGCACGTTTTGTTTACGACACGTTTATATTTATGCAATCAAACCCAACAACCTCTATTATGGGCCCCCTTTGACCACCACCATGACATACGTTTATAACAACAATGTAACGTTCTTGAAAACGCGGTTTACATTTATTTTTGTATCAAAATTCTTTCATTTACGTTCCACGTTTTGTCTTAATTTAATTAGAGCAGTAACGTTTAACAACCATGCGAGACAAATCACACCATTGGGCCCCCACCTGACCCATTGCCGCACCCCCTGAGCTGATAATGTCCTTAACCGCAGTCACTGTTTGAGACAGATAATTGCGTTCAGCGCCAAACTTTCTTGTTACACTTTTACGTTTGCTCAGGTAATCCTCACCGACTCTCAAGGCTCTTTGGTAGGAGGGTCCTGCCAAGTTGTTGGAGGAGGGGGCGACGTTGATGCTACTGTGTGCACCGTACTCCCAATTGAGTAATTTGCAGGTAATTATTTAGCAATGTTTTATTGGACCGATATCGGTTACATCGCATGTGTTTTTTTATAGCTGTGGGAGGAAACCGGCAAACCACGATGAAACCCTCATGCAGAACAGGGGGGGAACACACTTCACACAGAAAGCCACCCTAGTTAGGAGTCGAACCCAGACAGTTGATGCTATAAGTCACAAGTGTCACCATTATGCCACGCTTTCACCAATACTGTAGCTAGTTCGTGAGCCCAGACAAAAAATTAAAAAATTTACCAGGCAAGGCCCACCGCTCTTTTTCAGAAGCAACCTGGCCACAAATGATAGTTCAATGAAGTGGCTCATGTGGAAATTTATAGCAGCTAAATACTCTAATCACATTTGGGGGGGGGGTAAACCAGAAGAACCGGAGAAAAATCCACACGACCACGGGAAGAACATGCAAACCCACGACCTCCTGCACACCAGGCGAGGGAGTTAACATCTCACCACCACTTGTCGGCACCACCTAAGGTGACGTAACTTTAGTGGTTACAATTTATATATGTGATAACAGTAATTATGTGATGTTTAATTTAAATGAGTGGGTTATCAAATAATGCATAGTTACGTAGAATTATTAGCCTGAGAAATTATTTTGTACTCCTAGGTGGCATCAATTTCTGCTCTGGCCCATGGAAGAATAATCCTACTTTGTACCCCTGTGTCATGGTTATGGATCACAAGTGCTCTATTGCTTTCGCAACCAATATTATCCATAATAGAGGTTTTTTTTGGGTTAGATCGCGTCAATATAAATGTATTGTAATTACCGACAAAATATCGAACTCCAATTGTACATGTTGTGGGTTTACTCTCCAACACACCGGTGTGGTGAACTACTAACGAATTGGAAGTTTTTGTTTCCATGACAAACCATACTAATTGACTGCGTTGGGTGGTGGCGGATTTAATGACACATTTATATTTATGGAATCTAACCCACGAAAAACCTTGTAAAAAATATAACTATACACTCAAAGCAAATTGAGCAACCTTTTCACACGTAAATTTGGAAAATTATTTTAAAAATAAAGTATTCAAGGAAAGATTACTTCCAAAAATATAATGGGATACATATATTTGGAAGAGGGGAGCATTGTGTGGCACTGCATAACTCTAGACACACCCGGTACAGTGTCTGCCTCTGCACCAAAGGGTGATTGGTGGTGCAACTATAGACCACGGTAAATTCACGCAATAAGAACCAGACGGTAGGGGTGCAAATAGTTTTAAGGCACAACCAATAGCTTTCTTACACCAAGGGGAAATCTCACACCAGTTTCACCCGTGCAAGAACCACGCACAGGTACGACCACACGACACACCCCCTGCCCTCCGCTGCCTCTGCAGCTTTACGCGAGATTTCACTGGCCCCACTCCTTCCCTTAGCCCTATTCCAGACCCCTTTTCGAGGCCCTTGGCACTGTCATGAGCCGTGTCGTGGTGTGTGCGGAAGCCCCCACACGTTGCAGGTGATGTTGCGTGTTGTACGAACCCCCAATCCTCGGGGGAGTCATTCTCTTGACTCAGACTAAACCCACTCGGCCATTTGCCCATGTGTTTTATCCGTGGTTCCTCCTGTATCCTTGTGTTTGCCTCGTAACAACAGCCTTGATATGTCTCTTCGAAATAGAGTAATTCCCTGTTTTTTCTGCATCTTCCTTTAAAATAGGGTTAATTTATGCATGCACATGTTTGCATATGTATGCATGAGTCTGTGTTTGACTCCAGTTGGCCAAAACCATGACCGACTCAACACGACTGCTCCGCCGCCCCCTGCCGCCAGCACCTCCAACTCTGCCAACCTCACCAACCCCTCGCGCCACACACCCCACACCATCTTCACCTGCCTCAGGTGTGTCACCAACCCCTCGTGCCACACACCCCACACCATCTTCACCTGCCTCAGGTGTGTGACCAACCCCTCGCGCCACACACCCCACACCATCTTCACCTGCCTCAGGTGTGTGACCAACCCCACATGCTACGTACCCCACACGATCTACACCTGTCCCAGGTGTGTGACCAACCTCACGAACCCCACGCGCCACACACCCCACACCATCTACACCTGTCCCAGGTGTGTGACCAACCCCACTCGCTACACACCCCACACCATCTACACCTGCCCTAGGTGTGCTACCAACCTCACCAACTACACCATCTATGCCACCCGAGGTCCACTGCCCTATTTGCATTGTGTGTATGATTCCCCTCTCCCCTTTATACTTTGCTGTCAGACATGAAGATGTGAAGGTAGATTTTATATATTTCATTTTAAGGCCAGTGTTATTTCAAAATGTGCTTGAGTGCGTTTAGGAATTGATTATGCAATTTGAACGTATTTTATTTATTTAAGGGGCGCCACGTTCATGTGATGTTATCTCCTCGACTGGTATGCAGGAGGTCAGGGGTTCGATCCTGACCCTGATGCCTGTATATTTGGAGTTTGCATGTTCTCCCTGTGGTCGCGTGGAGTTTTTCTCCAGGTTCTCCGGGTTTTCCCTCCACATTTAAAAACATGTGTTTAGACTATTTAGATTATTTTACTGCTATAAATGTCCAAATGATCAGCCGTTTTGTTGGTGGCTTTTGAAAATTAAACGGGCTTTGTCTGGTAGGATGGGGATAGTTTAGTTTTGTTTGTATGTGTTTTGGTGATTTGTTTACCTTTCTTGTACGTTGCACTCCTATCATGTTTTTGTATTTGTTGTTGTAGCGTTCTTACCTGCCCCTAATGGACATAAGTGAAAAAGAGCTTTATAGCTCATTGGATTCCTCCAGTAGAATGAAATATTCTAATTCTGTGTATGGAAATTAGCATACAGACCAAAAACTCGTTCTGATTCCATTTATTGTGTGTTATCTACTGCATTGTACTGTAGTGTGACACATACGGTTGGCGATGTTGGTAGCATACCTGGGACAGACGTTGATGGTGCGGGATCTGTGACACGTGCGGTTGGTGAGGCTGTCATTGTCATTGGACCAAGTCATTCACATGATCTGTCAGTCATCTCAGTCAGCCCATAACATCGGGGTCTGTCCTGTGACCTCGTGTCCGCAAATGCCTTCTAACACTTCACATGGCCTCAAAGGGCACTTAACCTGACACAAGTGCTGTGATAACATCACTGTCACTTAATAGCGAATAGAGGCTGCTGTTTTATTGTAGTTATGTCCGTAGTCTCGATATTGGAGGGTACATTTTTCTCAAAGACCAAAAACCCCAGCTGAAGTCCTGGGGTTAAAGTTCTACATTATATTAACCCTTATGCTAAACACTTAATAATATACTATCCACATTTTCATTGAACCATATAATTCACGTAATAATAATTGATTATGGCGTATGACACAAAAATCCACAGAAAGTGGCCAAATTAATTATCGGTTACTGATTATTCACGTTGGTCATCTTGATTATTAGACATTTGCAGTGAACAGTTTGTGCGTGGCTGCTTCTTCAGTCTTTTGCGTTGTATGTATGTGTGACCAGCAGACTGGAGCCGCCCGGAGTGGTCCTGCGGCCCAGCTCCCCTCCCGCCTTCTAGACCATTCAGACTGCCGGGCTTGAGGGCCGTGGCTACTGGCAAACACTGCCATGGGAATCCACCCATATTCACACTCGATGACTTCTTGGCCTTCCCGCCCTTTGGTGTGGTTCACATACTGTACTTACATTTACAAATTATTACATTTACCACTTGGACACAAGCAATCAACAGGCATACAGGAATTCCTCAATTATCTAACTCCCAATTTATGAATGTTCGCTTGAACGAAATTTGAACTGACATATCTGTTGCTTATTCCGGTTTCCAGTTTATTTTGTTTAACCAGGTGAGAACAGAATTGTCTTATTTGCAAAATGACAAAGTATTGGTGGCAGCGACAGTATTCAAGCCCATTACTTAGACCACTCGGCCACGCTACCGTGAGTTAAAGCATTATCAGTTGCCGAAAGGTGGTTAAAATAATAAAATCAGTTTTATAAAGTGCTTTCAAATTAGTAGACTCAAAACACTGACACATTTTATTCAGCAATATATTATAAATGTAAAAATGTGCATTTAAAACATAACTTAAATATATGAAAGCTATAAAATATTCACCTTGGGATGATTTGTTGTACCTACAATGTAATGAGTAAATTAACATGGGATGCTTGTCGATATAAAACATTAAAAATAAATGCAAGGGTTAACGTAGACAGCATTACATTCAGATGATCTATGTGTTCTCTCCGCATAGACCCCGTTTCCCAGATAAAGTGGCTGAGGCAAGCTGTGCTCTCACGCTGCAACTATGGTAATCTTGTGCGCATGCTGGCATCCACGCTGGAGAAGGGCCATTGCGGACACAGCAAGCACAGGGAGGTCACGGACGTTGTTATTTCCGTGCAGGGCATCCCAGCCGCGCCACCTGCACGTGTCCCTAAACTTCAGCTCCTTCTGGGTCAGCTCCACTCAAAGACACGTTTCATATTGTGCATAGTCCACATCTACATGTCTACCACAGCTGAATATGTTGAATCTAATATTTGATGTGAATCACATGACACCTGTCTTCTGTGCTTTCCCAACAGAAATAAGGGCCTTTATCCAGGAACATATGGCAGCTCTGACCATTGGCACCCTTGATGATGATGAACTTAGGGAGAAATGGAATACAGAGAAATCTCAGCATCTTCAATCAAAATGGGAACCACACGTCAAGGAATCACCAATTCAGCCAGGTACAACATAAAGGCGTGAGCAGCCCCAGTGGTGTCGGGCCTAAAACAACGACTGTTTGTAAGACATTTTCAAATGTACTTCTCTTTATGAAGAGTTAGTGTTGATGGTTTGAAATTTTCAAGTCAAAGTCGAAGTGATTTCTTGCTTAAATGAGCACTGCGGCGACACTTATTTCACATTGACAGCCCTGAGCCAGTTGTGTAAATTCTACATTGCTATGAAAAGGGAAATAATATACATGGACTATGACTTGAAAGTTTCACCAGTATTAACCTGCGTGCTTCAGTCTACTATAATGTAGCAGTGAGTGTGGGGTCGGTTGGATATGTTTTTACATGTGACCAGTCTAATTATCATTCGGCACCTTTTCTTTTTGGAAATCTATATCCTTGTCTAGAGACACAAGTCTTGCGTTTTCTTCACAAAGGCCAATATTGACGATGCAGATACCAGTTAGTAACAAGTCAACTTCCAAGTCTCAGTGTATTGTGTCAGATATAACACAACTTAGTCTGGGTAAACCCAGGATGGAACACAGTGAGTCCTTTAAAATGTTTCCAGCTACTACAGCTGTCAATGTCGACAGGGTGAATGTCTCTAAAGCTCAAGGTTGTGTGTCAGACAGCAGTGTTGGAGAAAATAAACTCATATGTGTAAGAAATTGCTGAAAATAAGTTAGGTAGGTTTGACAATGCAGAGAGACTACACACTTCATTCTTGATGAGAGCTGGGAAATTATGGAGCCTGGAATCACTATTAGTATTGGACATCTGTGAAAAAGGGCTTCATAGCTCATCGGATTTCTCCAGGATAAATACAAATTATGATTTTGACTTCTTAGAATCGAATAAGTTTGCGAGCAGCATTGTCGGATCTGTGGAATTGTGAAAGGACAGGATGCGTGGACCTCTGTATGGTGCTCAGGCAAGAAAGGAGGTCCTGGTCAGCTAAGTAGTTTTAGCCACAGACCCCACGTTAACTCCTCACATGGGGCAATCCATTACCCTGAGGCAGATTTGAGTGCGCCACATTGGCTGCTTTCCAAGACAAATGGGAGCCCACTTTTCAACACTGGAGCCATCGGAATGAATAGTACCAAGTATGCCAAAATTATCATGGGGGATTTCTGACCATACTTCACCATGCTGGTCAGTGCGACTTGATGTGGGGAAGAGAAGGACTGGTTCTGAAGTTAACAGTGGCCACGAATCGAACTCAGGTGACTGGGTTCATAGCTCAACACACTAATCTCATCGTTCCACCCGTTGAGAATTAAACACACAGGAAGGAATCAACAGATCAAATGCAGCACAGTCTGTATGCATACATTTGTGATTGTTCCACTGCAGTGTTCTTAGACCTAGCCATCCGGCATTACGCACACGTAGATAAGTGCATCGTTGAATTTTCAACACTACAGCTGAAATTGTCGTGAGCGCAGCGTCCGTGTTCTGTGCCGTGTGAGCGCAGCCGTCGGGCTTGTGCTGCACGCTGTGCCAGCAGGCAGCTTCCAGGGCGAGGCGCGCAGCCGCTCGCCCTTCAGCACCGTCATCAGCCCTGCTGAGCTCGCCGTGCTGCACTGCTTACTGCAGGGCGGCACCACGCTCAGCCTCAAGGCACGTGCCACACTTCGTTTGGTTCATTAAGATGCCGTCTGCCCAAAGCTTAACTGGAATTCAAATAAATACCGAGTTATTTTATCCGTAAAAAATTACATATAGAACACAGAAGTGCTCGCCAGCCACTGTTTAACCCTTTCCCGTTCCGATGACGAAACCGGAAGTGAAACTAAAATAAAATAATTGTATCGGTACCGAGGCTCCCACAAGGCTGTGCGGAAGGGTGTGTGGAAGTTTGGTGCCAGCTATCATATACAGTGCAGTCGTGTCTCTACCGTTATCTGTGGTGAGTACAGCATCTTATAAAACAATGGCGCTACACCTCTGTAATTAAAAGTAATGTTGACTGCTTGCACGTTCCGAGATTCAGCAGTGAACGGGATCCACCATGCGAATAGCAGACGTCATCGGAATGGGAAAGGGTTAATTATATCCAAAAACTGTGGGTTGGAACTCATATCTATCCAGGACATCGCCTTAAAGGGGCCGGGGTTGCATCCCTCCTGGTTGAGATACATCTTGTACTTTTCTGGGTGTTAGTAAACCAATGCAGAGTTTTCTGTTCGCCTAAGGGTTTGGCCAATAGGTGTGTGTCTTGGAATATTTTAGTTTAATGTTTTATGGAATTTATGGAAGGTGCATTGAGGCTTGTTTGGGCAAAAGGCAAAATTAGAAAGAGGAAACAAATCGATACATTGCAGTGGTGTACTGATTCACAGTGACTGATGAAGTAAGCATTCATAATAACTAATTTTGTATTTGTTGATCTTTTATTTCAATTTATTGTGAATGTTTATTGTTGTTACTCAGATAAAACGATTGTAATCTCCTTGATATGTTGTAAATGTCCATGCATTTCCAATGTTTTCTATATTTGGCATTTTCACTTATGGCATTTATCACTTGCGGTATAATGAAGAGGAGTGCATATTTGGTGTTTGGGTATACGCGACGGTATCATTACAATAATGTTCAGAGATTAAAGTGCAAAATCTGTTTTATTTCTTCAAGGCACATTTCATCGACAGCTTACCAGGCCTGTCACCGCTGATGGACACTTTGGTTTACCTCAACCTGTCCTATAATAATCTGCGAAGCTTACCACACGAGGTACACAAAATGTCATCATAATGATATTTGCATTATTTGATGCAGATAAAAGGTCCCCGCTTTTGTTTAACGCAACCCCAGTAAACCTGACCAAAACTATTTTTATTTTACCAGGTAAGGCCCCCTGAGCTATGTAGCTCTTTTTCAAATGCTTCCTGGCCACGAATGATAACTCAACGACGTGGCTTATCATGTGGACATTTATAGCAGCCAAATACTCTAAATGCATGTTTCTAAATGTGGAGAGAAAAATCCACGCGGCCACGGGGGGAACGTGCAAACTCCGAATATACAGGCTTAAGGGTCGGGATTGAACCCATCACCTCCCGTATTCTAGGTGAAGTAGTTAACATCTCGCCTCTGTGGCGCCTGTAAACCCTCCCTCCCTATGTGACATGCTTGCTGCCGTCGTATCGGCCATTCTGTGTTGCGCAGGGTGTCAGGAAGGGATCTGAAAGAAGCACCCCCCCACCCCCCACCATTAAAACTCCACATCATGGTGTCATTAATTACATCCCGAGCCAATATTTCTGGTTAAGACTCAGCACATTATGTACGCAAGCAGTTCAACACTGAGGCTTCGTCCATCCCTGTACATGTGTGTCCTAGAGTTTCCCCTCTCCCCTCTGTGGCAGCTTAAACCAGTCAGAACCAAGTTTGGAGCCATGGAGCCAAGCCCGCACTTCTGCAGTGTTGACTGAGAGGCCGAGTGTGATGCTTCTTGCGTTCAGATTTGGAGTTGGAGTTTGAGAATGAAACAAAACAAACCTTGACGAAGTCTCCACGTATATTGTTGTGTGCATACCAACACCCGGGTCCACTGTCATACTACCTTTCAAAAATGAAATGTGCAGCCAATGAACTGAACTACAGTTCGCAAGTGCTACACATGCAGCCCCCGTAAACCCTCCCTTCCAATGTAACATTCCAGTAAACTAATCCCTTCCCATGTAACATGCTTGCTTGCTATCATCCTATCAGCCATTTTGCTGGGTAGTCATTGAAAACGAGCTTCTTAGCTCAATGGAACTCACCTAAGTTACAACTCAATGCACCTTACATGACGTCTCTTCACCCCCCTACTGGTGCTGCCCATTCGAACGGGCACTCCCAGAGTTAGCTGTCCCTGTAAAGTACAAGGTGACAGCACCTGACTGCCAGTAGGAAATAGTCTGCCAGTACGGGGGTACGAGTGCGACTGTATGTACAATCTAAATTTTTGTCATTTGTGCGTGATTTTAGAGATCTCAAATGCACGTTTAATTTGTTATCATTTGCCCGCATTCTACCCAGCTCAAAGCAATGGAGAGCCAAACATTTCATGTTGTTACATTTTAAACTCTGTGTAAGTGTTGGCGGGGTGCTTGTCTTAACATGGATATAGTTTGGTGTATTTTAATAGTAAATGGGAATGATAATGGTGCTTATATTGGCAATACATGAGAATAGTTGTAATATGACAATAGTGATCAGTGTGTATTAGTGGGAATTATGTTATTAACGGTGAGTATTAGTGGTGCCTATCGGACTGGCGGTTCTGCTTTCATATGGATATCGACTTAGTAGTAACTATAAATCCATGTCTACGTTATGCATCCAGCTGCCGGCTTCAGAGCGTCGTGAGTGTTAAGACCACTCCTGCTGTCAGAACACTTGTAGTGGACACGAACACACAGAGTGACCCATAGATTCACAGAAACACAGACTCACACAGAGAAACATAGACTCCCACAGAGATCTATAGACTCATCACACAGAGACCCATTGACCCAGATAGAGATCTATAGACTCACACACAGACCTACAGGGTCACACAGAAATACATAGACTCATAAAGAGACATGCAAACTCACACAGAAGCACATAGACTCACAAAGAGAACAATAGACGTATACAGACACCGAAAGACTCGCAGAGAGAGATCCGTAGGATCACAGAGCAATGCATCAGTCACACAGCTACACATCGACTTACACAGAAACAATGTTTTCCACTGTTTACAATGTTTTCCACTGTTTTGGTGTGTCACAGTCGCATTTCGGTGATTCTTTCATTTTTCGTTGGTGGAAAGCAGCTGCTTGAACTTGGTGGACTGGAAGTGCTGAAGCTGCGGAACAACCCGCTGAGCGGGCTGCCCCAACAGCTGGCCGGCCTGTCGCATCTACACACACTGGTGCTCTCCTTTTGCCTGTTCACCTCACTGCCCCAGAGGTGAGTGACGTGTCCGTCTGTTTAGACAATGAACGGTTTTTCATCACTTCATTAATCTTGTTTTTATATCAATAGGCACTTTTACAATAAGATATTCTAAAAGTGCTACATAGATACATAATGAAATATAATTATTCAACAATAGTCACTTACAAATCAACTTTCAAAGAAACTGAACATAAGATGATACATTTTCCTTAAAAATGCAAATGATTAGTTTTAAAGGGTTTATAATCTCACTATAAATACAGAAACTTTAAACACAGGAACAACAGCATCTAAAAGCACTGTTAACAAAATATGGCAATAAATAAGTACATAATAAACAGTGGTGGTGATATTGTAAAGGATTATAAGTTATGTTAAATAACGAAATCAATAAGCATAAAATACACCTTCCCATGTCTGACTGAATGTCAAATAAGTCCACAGTTCGCCTGAATTAAACCAATGCTGCTGAAAAGAATTACTTCCAGATGGACGTGTGGCTGATATGTGTAAATAAATAAACGATGTAATTATTTTGTGTGGAGGGACATATGTGCGCTCGGCATATTGTCTTCTTATTTTTTTTAAGGTTGTAAATTTTAGTTTAATTTAGTAGCATCGTTCATGCAAATTGCATCTCACAGTCACCGTGGAGCCACAGACAAAGCTGAAGGGAAGCAGCCAGGCGGTGAGGCCGCATCTCTGATTAGCACAGTTGGCTACGTGCGGTGCGAAAGAAGTTCGACGTATATACTCACACAGAGACCCATAGACTCACACAGTAGTGACCCATAGTTTGTTGTCCTTTCCCGCACACTTCCGATAAGTACGGTTAGCTACGTACGGTGCAAAAGAAGTTCAACAGACATTCATACTACCAACAATTGGCCAAGCTCTGCAGTCTTCTCGAAGATGTCAGCCAGTTAAAGCGTGTTTATATTGCAACTAATGTTCTCCACAATGACGTGATGCGAATATTATAGATCCCTTTGTTGATTTGATATATAGGACTATTCATGTTTATTCAGGTAATTGAAAAACTATTATTTTTCAACGTTGCTTTTGCATCCATTGCAACGTTACAATAAATGTATATTGCTACCACTATGCCGTGGGTAAACCATTTAACAAATTAGTTTAGTAATATTGCATTACGTGTTGTGGTTGCATAATGTTTTGTTTCTTATATATAAGTGTTTTCATTAAAATGAACTTGGCACCACAGATAGGAACTATCTACATTACTGGACATCTGTGAAATACTAGACATCTGTGAAAAAAAGCTTTTTAGCTCATCAGTTATTTTTAGTCTATAAAGTTTCTAAAAGATTCTGATCTTGACTTGAGAGCATTGTAACAATTAGAACATTTACTACTTTTGATATTGCGTTTTTTTATGTTGATTCTTTTGCAGAGCATTACCTGCTTTGCTTTTTAATACCACTTTTGTAACAGTATTATAACTTGTACCGAACACCGGTTGCAAATTAATGACCGGTATTCTAGATTTTAATAAATAAAATACTTGCTTGTGTAATGAGGGAGCGCCATCCAGGGGATACCAGGAGGTAACGAGTACAGGCATGATGATGCCATCGGGATCTAATCCGAGAGGGGGGGATATGATCGGGCCGGTGAGGCGTTTGGGTGTGGCGAGAGGCGGGGCTTAGCTCCGCCAAGGGGGATATAAGGGAGAGTGGGGGGAAGGTTCGGGGTCGGTGTGGAAGCCTGGGTTCCGGACGGCGGTGCTGCCTTCTCCTCCTCGCCACGGGCCACGTGGCGGGTCTTCCCTCGGAGCTCGCCTCCAGTTCCAGCGTGCCGTCAGCCAGCCGCGAGGCCGGAGAGTGGAGCCCCGCGGGAATGCGGAGAGAGAGAGAGGCACGTTGTCCACAGGTTGGGAGAGTGGAACCATCGGGAGGGAAGTGAAGCTGTGTTGTACCGTTCTGAATAAAGAAGCACTCAACAAGCTCCGTCGTGGAAATACTGGTGCCAGAAGTGGCCTTTCAAGACAAGACGATCATGAAGGAGAAAAATGTCTAAAAACCTCAGAAAGAAGAACCCACCTGTGTAATCTTCAGACGACGATGAAACGGAGACCCTGGACCAGCCGACCCCGGGACCCGTGGTCCCGGTTACAAGCGCCTCGGCCGAGGAAGTTACTGCTCCGGGGGCAGGCGCCGTGGTTGCGGCACCTCCATGCGTAAGGCCCGACGACGGGTGGAAGAGGATGGAAGAGCAGCTTGAGTCGCTAGGGGGCGTTCTTCTCCAGCTCGTCTCGGTGGTGGGACGTCCACTCCCATCGCCTCCAGGAAGCGAGCTCCTCAGCTGGGGTGACGGCCATCATTGCGCACGCGGAGTCGGCGTCCGCCATTGTGCGCGAGGAACAGTTATCCGCCATTGTTCGCGCGGATGGGACGTCCGCCATTACGCGACCGGAGTCGCCTACGCGGCTGGACACCGCCATATTGGACAGTGCGGCGAAGGCGGATACGGTGGCCGCCATTTCCGACGAGCAGCGTGCTGAGAAAGGGGCAGCTGCCGCTGCTGCCACTGCTGTCACATGCAGCGGCATTGATTGTGGACATCGTCTTCCCCACGTTAAATAATTAATTGCAGCGGGTGGTGACTGGAGCACCTTCATCGGGAAATTTGAGGCGGCGTTCCGGTCGGTCCATTGGTCGGAGGAGGAAGCGGGCAATGTTACAAGGTGCATACGCCGATATGGCGGAAGTTTTGAGTCACCTTCAGACACGCGGAAAAAATGTACGCAACATAAGCGGGTCAGTTCAGAATCTCCCCTGGCCTATAGTAGTGCCTTGATGGCACTGGCTGTGGCTGCCTACCCTGATGTGAAGCAGGAAGCGCTCAACTTGCTCGTTATGGATCGGATGTTGGCGCTGGCCATGGACATGGGGGTTGTCCTTCCTTCATGCGGCTACGGAACGCAATCATCCTGGTGGGCTGTCAGGTGCTTGCACGCACACAAAAATTTGCAGCACTGGTCACAAATGGCGGCGTGGACGGGGGACCCTAAGCATGATGGGGAACCCAGGGGTTGGTCCCCGTCTAAAGTTGTGAATAGTCCGCCTTAGGAGGATTCCTCGGACGGTGATCTGGCCGCTGCGGCCTATCAGTGGGATCAGAGATGGACCGTGGCTTCTCGTCGCCGGGGGACCGAAGGACCCCATCTTCGTGACGACCGGGGGACCCAGAGACTGTCCGTCACTTGTTTCCACTGCGGTCGGCTGGGTCACTTCGCGAGGGAATGTCGGAGTCGTCCTCACTCTCCATCTTCGTCTGCTGCTCCGGCTCCTGCGGGACCTTCGATGGATCATCCTCCGAATCTGCAGGCGAGTCTGTACACGTCGGACTCACGGCACATTTTGCAACCTCATGCATCTCGATCCGCGGTGCCTGTTCGCTCACAACGGATTTGATTGTTGGCAACCGTCATTCCGGGTCGGTCCCGATTCACTCACTCAATAGAGGAAATTAGCGCATCGTGTGGTTGCTGCGGCTGAGGGATCCTAGTCGGTGCCGGGTTCGATACAAGGGGTCCGCGTTCGTATCTTGATCAACACGGGAGCTTCTGCTACTATTATTTCTGATGTCATTTTTAAATTCCTGTCTATTCCTGTTACTCAAATACGACCTGTCATTGATTCTTGTGTCGCGACTAATGGGGGCAGCATGGGCATAATTGGCCAGGTGGATGCCCTCGTTGTCATGGGGGATGTTGCCGTATTGGGGCTTGTTTTGATCTCGAGGTCGTTAGCTGTGCCCTGTTTGTTGAGTACTGATTTTCTTCGTCGCATGCCCGTTAAGAGTCTCGTCGATCAGGGTTGTTTGGAGATGCCTTCGGGTCACAAATTTCCCTTCTTGCCCTCCCCATTGATGCGTTCGACACAGGGTGTGGCAGTCCAGGCCCTTGTTGACGTGGAGAAGGAGCGTGTGCAACAAGTGGTCAGTGATATGCTGGCCACCGATATTACCTCCCCTTCTACTAGCCCTTGGGGCACGCCGGTTGTCCTCGTCAAAAAGATAGACGGTGGCCTCAGGGTTTTCGTGGCCGATGCCTATCCGCTTCTTCGGATAGACGACTCTCTAGACACCTTGTCCGGTGCTAAATATGTTTCCACCCTTGATCTGTTTTCGGGGTTTTGGCAGCTACCCGTGGACGAGTCGTTCAAGCCCAAAACTGCATTTCGCACGTCTCAGAGTCTCTTTCAGTTAAATTGCCTTCCCATGGGCTTGAATTCGGCTCTGGTCACCTCCAGCAGTTGATGGAGCTCGTGTTAGCCGGGTTACAGTGGGACACTTGTCTCATTTACTTAGATGACGTGATTGTTTTCAGTCGCACATCTGCAGTGGCTATGCTCCGTTTTTGATAGAATGCGTTCCACTAGCTTGAAGTTTTAGCCGGCTAAATGTAATTTGCTGCAGACTTTGGTGCGTTTACTTTGGTCACATTGTTAATACAGCAAGCGTGCTGTGACGGTTCCACCTGAAGACGGAAGCTTGTGTTGCCTCCGAAATGTCGTGATTTTTATTTTATTTTATTTTTACTTTTATTTTATTTTTATTTTAATTCTTTACCTACGTGACTTTACCGAAAAAACCCAATAATATGAATCCTTGCAGTCACGAAAGCTTCAAATCAAGAAAGAATGAGGGTACCCCTATGGGCTCCCCCTTGTCACCAGTGATAGCCAATGTTTTCATGGAAAAGTTTGAATCAGACGCCATCCAGACATCCACCCTGCGTCCTTCCCTGTGGAAGAGATATGTGGATGACACTTTTGTCATGCGGCCACATGGCCTCCCAGGTGGAACCGTCCTGGACCACATCAATTCCAGACACCCATCCATCAGATTCACCATGGAAGTGGAGAAAGATGGCAAACTACCATTCTTGGATGTTCTATTTGAGAGGAGACCTGATGGCTCCTTGGGACATTCTGTTTACAGGAAGGCCACCCACACATATTCCTACTTGAAACCTGATTACCACC